CCCCGGCCGCCTCCTTTGTCCTTCGGGGCGGCGGCGGGGCGCGCGGGCCACCGCGCGGGGGGGGGGGTTCCGCAGCCGCTCCCGCAGCAGGACGGCGGCGAGCATCAGCCCTCGGCGCCCGGGGGCGGTGCGGCTTCTGCGGCTCCTCGGGCTGCCCCTGTCCTTGAAAATGCCCGGGCTGCACGGAGGGATGCCACTCCCCGTCTCCGCCGGTGCTCCCCCTACCCCCTTTTTGTTTAGAGAAGCAGAACGTGTGCAGGGTTTTTCTTTCCTTCTTTCTTTCTCTTTTTTTTTTTTTCCTTGCACTAGTCGTCTTTTGGGAGTGCTGGATTCCTGCATGATAAATGTGCTCATTTGTGTATTTCATTTGAATGCCATTGTTAACAGGGGAGCCTTGAGTAGAGTAAGCTGCAACTTGCTTTGCTTCTGCAGAAGGTCTTTTGTGATGGGCTCTGTGGAATTAAAAGCCAAAGTGGAAGAATGACCCTGAAACTGTCTGTGATCCCCCGATGTTAAGTATATTCCTCAGGGACTGCTATAACGTCAGTCCATGCATTCATTTCGGTCTTCAGCCTTTAATTCCAATGGGGAGCGATAATGATTAATTTTGTCGTGTGAGTTTTATTTGACCTCTAGGCTTCGCTACGTCTCAGTGTGCAAAACCGAGACTGAGCTTATCATGGATGCGTTTGGTTGTCTGTCATACCTGGCCAGGGAGCTTTCAGAGACTTGACACCGAGATGCATTTGCACACGAGGGCAGCAATGGTGTTTCAGGTCTTTGTCTCCTCTGTGCTAGACTACAGCTGGAGTTCCAACAATCAGCTTTCTGAACTGGGGTTGGAGGCTCGGATATTAAACTTGTGGGCTTCTTGAGCCAAAGGTAGCATTCCTTGATGAATATCTTCATTTTCCTGGCTGAGGAGTCCATCTATCTCTTAAGGTGTCCCCTCAACAATTCCCTTTCTTCACTGAGGTTTTTTTCTCAGAGGCTCTTCTAAAATACTTCAAATGTTGAGTCATCACCTCTTGATTTGAATTAAGCCAACTGTAGTAAACGGTCTGCTCCTCAAACCTCTGAAGGGTTCAGTGATTTCATGCTTACTTTGCATTAAAGTTGGACAATGTAACCAATGTCCATGCCGAAGATGGAGACACAACTATTGTATTTAATTACATGTTCTGAGGATGGGTGTGTTGCAGAACTTCTATCAGGGTGCATACCGTAGTATGCAAGATGACAGATGCAGTTTGCGAAACCTTCCTTGCTTTTGAAGCTAACCTTTAGGTTGCCTGCTGGAAAAGGCTACAATTAGCTAATGGAACATTCTTCAGCAGAAAAGATCTAGTGTGTGAAAAAACAAGATATTTAATGACCTGAGTACTAGGTGTCAGGTTGACCTTATTGTTCCCCAGGCCGTTACAGATGAAATTGCTAGCTCCAGGAATCCTGGATGTGACAGTAGTATTAACAAAAGATGCAGTGGCGTCTCTTAGACAGAGGCAAATAAGTAAAATGAGTGCGCAGGAGCTCTTGTCAGCAGTTTTTCTTTCCCCTCCAAACTACTCGTGAAGCTGTTGGAAAATCTAACATCAGTCCTTGCTGCGTCTTGAGCCTCAAGGTAAACTTGAGATCTGGAGACATTTTTTTGGAATATGGTAATGTCAGTGCTCACAACAGAACAGAAGCAGGCTGTAGAAATGCAAAGTCTTATGTTTTTCAGGAAGAATATGAGCAAAGTTTAGCTAGCTTAATGGCTTGCAGAAACCCCAAGTGTCTCAAGTGCTTGTCTGTAGTTGAAAATCCACATTTGAAAACATTCTTGTCACCTTCTGGTTACTGTAGTTAGCTATCCACTGAACATTTTTTTTTTTAATATTTTGATATCGATCCTTTTTTAATTTTTTTAATTTTTTTTTTTTACTGTTCAAGTAAAGTTGAGTTTACTGGTAAGCTCTTATTAAATTTGCTCTTCTTCCTTATTTAAGCACAGAAGACAGATGCGTGTTTTTCCTGCTTGTAGCTCTCACGTTGTTGCAATGTCTCTCCTTAGTTGGTGCACAATTAGAACCAGTTTATACTGCGTTTCCTGTACTGGGTCTGAGATTATACCTGACAGATCACTTTAACTTTTGTGTGGCAGTTGGTTTATTCAGAGGGGGCCGCTGAGTGACTAGGGGCTCTCAGTTGTATAGCAACTTCTTTAGACTATGGAAGAAATGAATGATGCTTCTTCATCAAGAGAAGATACAGATACTTGTGATAGATCATTTTATTGATGTGCCATAGCTCCATTCATTTCATCGATAAGAATATAGTATGTAATGTACTTTTTGTTTTTTTCCTCTCCAATTTACAGGGTAACTGATAGTGGATACCTTCACTTCCTACAATGGCACAAAGATCCGGACAGGAAGATCCGGAGAGATACCTCTTTGTGGATAGGGCTGTAATCTACAACCCTGCCACCCAGGCTGATTGGACTGCTAAAAAGTTGGTGTGGATTCCTTCAGAACGCCATGGTTTTGAGGCAGCCAGCATCAAGGAGGAAAAAGGGGATGAAGTGTTGGTCGAACTGGCAGAGAACGGAAAGAAAGCACTAGTCAATAAAGATGATATTCAGAAGATGAATCCTCCCAAGTTCTCTAAAGTGGAAGACATGGCAGAATTAACCTGTTTAAATGAAGCCTCTGTATTGCATAATTTAAAGGATCGGTATTACTCTGGGCTTATCTATGTAAGTACTAATTATTAGATACATTACGGGTGCTAATTCAGCTGAACTTACCTGATTCCCATTCTTTTACCCATTTGAAACGGAGGAAGTGGGTCTTGTTTCTGATTTTGGTAGCCTAAATGCTTTAGTGTCCCTAGCATTTAGGTTAGCCCAGGGTCTTTTTCCATGCTGTGTACAGGTCAAGAACTCTGTTGTCATAAAACAAATAATAAAAAATTCTCCTATGGAAATAATTCTGCAAGCATCTTTCAAAAATAGAATGCTAAATGGCAACTCTGGGTGCTTAGCTCATGCTGCTCGTTAGAGCACTTGCCTCAGACATGCTTAACTGATACAGTGAATAGTATCAAATGGCTTGTTTGAGCTGACGAGAGATTACAAAACCTAACTTTGCTGAATTACTCTTGTTTAATTGCTCATATGAATAAGCATATATCTTGTTTTAACTTGCTGCGTATTAAAAATTATAATAAGAGGCTATGCTATTATTTAAAAGCTGAAGCTGGAGAGTGCTAGGAATGCCAAATGTCTTTTTGGAATCTAATATCAACTTAGTGGGCCAGGAAAGAATGTGTTCAAGTGCTTAAAATAAACCAGTAAGATAAAGCTTTCTTTTTTCAGTGGTTTTGAAGCACTAATTGGAACATCTGGCTTATCACCATCTTTCTATAGAGTTAGGAATCACAACGCCATTGATGCTGCTTTTGACCCTGTTCCTTCCTTGAACAATGCTAAATGAGTGTCTGTGCTGTACAGTTAAGAGTAGCTCCTTGTCTCTTGGCAAAGTGATTGCATAGTGACTTGTTGAGTCAGAGTATCATTAAGAGCTACAAGTAGACTTTCTATCTTAAAAGAAACTGGAACATCTGCTTAAATGCTTGGCTCATTTTAATAAACACTTGTTCTAACACTTAAATCCACTTTATTTAGTTCCGCTAGTTAGTTGGCTCATTTTCCCCTCCATTTGGGTATTAAAGGGGTACCTTTTTTGCTTAGACCTTGGTAATATTTGGACTTCCTAAAAATTATATGCAACTTCAAAATAGTCTTCATATTTGTGCTTCTTTGTCAGTTTCCTCTGTGGGTTTTTGGTTTTTACCCTTCCAAGGCCTTCCACCAAGACTCTTACAGCAGAGCTCAGTGAAAAATACTTCTGGAATGCTTTCTGCAAGCTTATAAGTAAACTAATTGGATAATTAGTAAGGACTGGATTGAAAATTAAAAGTAAACAAGTTGATAGGTCAAAAGTTTTCAGTATATGTATCAATCATAATGCTAGTTGTTATGAAATTCATTACAACTATTACAACTGTATTTCATTATGAAGGTTAAAAGCTGAAGGCTTTAAATGTCAAAGCAAGCTCCAGTCCAAGGACTCCATATAGTAAACATAGCCACAAATGCTTCTGGAGGATGTCGTTGAGAACCTGTCACTCTTCTATATACACAGATGATACAGTACTGTGTTACTTTGGATGACTGACAAATTAAAAACCTTCACTTTTTGAAAGGCTGGCTTACTGTATATGTGGAGTTTAACTGATATCCTATGGGTGACTTACCTTTCCCCCCCACACCCCCCACTCCCCCTTCCCAAAAGGGTGCTTTCTGCTTTCATTCTTTAACTGTTGAGGCAGACTCTAAAACTTGGTTCCTTGGCATTGAGATACTGCTGTCACATAGGAGGATTACCTCATCAGTATATTACTAATGACCTCCCCCGCCCCCAGGCTGGAAGAAGTTGGTTGGGATCAAGAAGCTAATGGATTTGTTGGCTTTAACTGGAGGTCTGAGTTGCAGGAACCTTGCTGGAGGATGCTACTGTTACCAAGAATAATGTTTCTATGCAGCTGTAACAATGAGTTCTTGTCTGAAATGAAAATTCAGCTTATTTTTTGAAGGGGGGGGGAAAGCAGTTGCAAGCACTGTTAGAGTAAAGGCTAAATGCTGGCAAAGATCAACAGGCCATGGAGAGAAACTTCATCAAGGACTTGAGCTGGTGGGGATTTTAGTTCTGGTAGGGTTCTCTGTCAGGGATCCCTAAACTTCTTGAATGTGGCGCTGTCATTGCTGCTGCTTACTGCACAGCCCAGAGCAATTGCCATTGCTTGCCTATCCTGCTGAAGTTCTCATGGCGTAAGAAAAAGAGTCAAAGTTAACTGAGCTGATGAAGAGAATTATGGTGGTTTGGCTGTGACAAAAGTTGGTTAAGGGTATGTTTTGATTTCCAGATAGTACTCCCATAATAACCAAACTGAAATCTTGTATTTTGATGTTGGTCTCAAGTAGTTGAGATGGTGAATCTGATTTGGTTTCCTTTAATTCACAATAGGCAGCATGCAGTGTTGCCTTTCTAGGAAGTAGAAGATGAAGGTCTGTCAACTGAAGTAGATACATGTTTCCTTTCAGTCCCTAGAAAGGAAACAAACGAGTTGAGGGATTTGGCCAGTGGGTCTAGTCATCTGTCTATAATCTACCTCTCCAAGATGACACTGCTGGAGGAACAGGGAGGGCTGACTAAAGCTAGCTGGTGCCAGTCAGCATGACCTGGGCAGTGATGCTCATTCCATCAAGAGTTTCATGTAACATCTAAGTAGGGATGGCAAGGAGTTTCTGGAACTTCTAGCATTTCTAATGTCTGCCAAGTGGCATGATCTTGGGCTCTGGGTTGCATTATTAGTGTGCTGTGGGAGATGAACTCAAATGGAGAATGTGGAAGACCAGTGGCTTGTAAAAGTGTGATGTCCATGCTTGGTCCTGTCTTTTATTTCTGGTCTGTTCATGACAGCATAGAAGATGAAAGGTAGCAGAACTTGTACAAGAACTGCTGGGAAGAATGGTTGGAGTGTAAACTATAGAGATCCCAGTTTTGCTTTGGAGATGAAATAACTTCATTTCTTGCTCCACTTTTAATATCACCTATTCCATTTCTTGCCACAAAGTTTATTTTGAGTGTAACTGAAGAATATGTTAGAAAAAAGTCTTTCCTAGAGAAGCTGTACTATCTTTGCAAATTCTTTGGGGTATATTATATATATATTTTCACCCCTGAGAATGGGGAAATCTATCATTGTGAATTCTTGCACTTGGACTTATCTCCTTAACCTGTCAATGACTAAGCATGGTAGTGCAGAATCTGAGAGTCCCCAAGAATATCCCTGCTCCTGTTTGAGGCTTGGTTTTCATCAAGTGCAACTGTTGGTTCTGTGAAGGTGCAGCCATCTACAGCAGTTTTTTTTTTTCTCATTACTTCTACCTTTGGTAGGCATTTGTACTCTTCCATGTGTTTCATAGCTGATTTTTTCCAAATTTTGTGCTTTTCTAGGGTTATCAGCATTTCTTATGGCAGGGATGTATCATTTGAGTCACTAATACTCTAAATTGGTCTCTCATGTCTTGCTGTAGTGGCAGCTTCTCATGGCTTTTGGTTACCTTAAATGCTTGTGAACTGTCAATTCTTCAGCTTCATATAAAACTACTATTTTGGCTGCTCTGCTTTAGAGTGGCCAGCTTTAACACTAGCTTCAGCCTGTATTTAGTAATATCCTTCATAGCTGTAGATCAGAAACTGGAGGTAGTTCATTGTAAGGGCACCTAGGAGGAATACCCAAAGGCTTAGGAGGTCCTTTGAAGATTTGGAATAAATGTGATTTTGCTCAGACTGGTTTTGTGGTGGTTCTTGAATATCCTTATACCATGATGAACTGAGTTCCAGATATCTTTCTGGGGGCATTGCTTTAAGAGTCTAGTTATCAGAGGTTTTGGTCACCAAGGTCTGTAGCCTGAGTGAGGAAACATCTCTATTTTTACAAGACCTGCATGTAAAATGCCATTGTGAAGGCACATAGATATCAGTCCTAGATTTTGGCTCCTGCTTAAGTCATGTCAGCAAAATAGGATTTCATGGGGTGGGGGGAAATAATCTTTGAATCAGACAATGAAATGGAGGCATCCACTGGAAAGAGTGGAAGTTAAGGGTCTATCAGCCTTGAATGCTAACAGGTTCTCAAGACCACTGTTGCCGTAATGATTTGTGTCAAGCTGTAATTAGGCAAGATGACTGCTCCATGTCACTGCTTCATGAAGTTTGGGGTTTCTCATGAACCAGCTTCCAAACTCTTCATGGTCCAGTATGGTACCTGAATGTAGGAAATCACTGACTTCAATTTTTAAACTGCTATGCTGTAAGCTGTAGAGGTTCAGGAGCAGTTTTGTTCATGGCTCAGGTTTGTGGTGTCAGTTTGCTGTTGGGGGTGTGTGTGTGAAGCCCAGCTGAAGAATTGACTTTGGCTGTCCAAACTATAGCTGTCTCCTTCAGTTGGAGTCCTGGGAAAAAGGAGACACTTGAAATGGGTCTCTGGTTTTGGTTGGAAGGGATGGGAGTGGCAGGGGAGATAAACAAGAAGGAGAACTTAGTCTGAAAATAAAGGTGCTAGGAGGACAGATGCTGCACTTGACAATATGGAGGGGAGAAATACTTAGTTGCTTTGGTGGATGGCTACAAATAAGGTCTGAAAGCTGCAAAGGAGTTTCTGGTGTAGGAAGAGGTGGTTTTTTCCATCTTGATCTCTGTACTTCAATATCAACAACATATTGGCTTCAGTGCCTATTCAGAAAGCTTATATATAGGCATGTCAGTTATGTTCAAAATTAGGCTTCTACTCAAAGTTTACTACCCAATTTGACTCGTATAGCTGATCTGAAGGGAAGAACTGTGTCAGTATTTTTTTTTTTTTTTAAAGTATTTAGGTTGCTTTTTACCATTATGTTTTCTCTGCGCTTGGAAGAGAGACTGACTAGTTAGTGTGCAGTTTGAGAGTCCTTTTTCGCTTCAGGGCAAGATGTTTTTTTTTCTTCTTTGCTTGTTTTTTTTGAGCGAGAGCTGCTATACCTCTTAAAGTGGTCAGGAGTGTTCCTGATCACTCTAAATAATGTTTCAATGCTTTGTTAGGCAGCATTCTGGATATAACTTTCCTAGAGTTTTGAATTTTTAAGTCTTT